TGGTGGAGCTGGTGTTTGGTGCAGGGCAGGTCGACGCGCGGCTCATCAGGGTGAGCCCCGCGGCCCCGCAGCCGGCAGCCCGCCCTGGGCTGCGGTCGCGCGGCCTTGGGCGGCGCGCGCCGCGGGCCCGCCGCGCCTGTGGCGCGCCGCGCGAGTGGAGCCGCGTGTGCTGTGGGTCTGCTGCCCCATGGGGCTTGCTGGGGAATGGAACCCTCGCCTTCCGTCCCCGCGAGCTTAGCACCCTGCTCCCGTTCCACGCACACGCGCAAACACACACACACACACACACACACACACACACACGCACTTTCCAACACTCTGTTGCACTCTCCGCCCCTGGGGACAGGTGGGTGATCTGATCTGGCGCACCAAGGACCCGTCCCTCGAGGGCCGCGTGCGCGCCTCCTACGAGTCCGTGCCCGCCGCGGCCGCCCGGAAGCTGCCCGTGCGCGTGGAAGTCGCCGGGAAGCTGGGGGCGCCGCTGGTGCTGACGCTGGTGGATGAGGAGGGGCGGCGGGCGGCGGCTGAGACCGAGGTCCCGCTTCAAGTGCGCTGCCGCCCGCACAGCACAACCCCGGAGCTCCTCTTTACTTTTCTCTCCAGTTTTGGACCCTCTGCTGTGTGCACATGAGCAGCAGTAGTGCTTGCTTGCTTGGGTATCGCCAGAGCGCTGATGCACCCTCGACTTGGTGTGCTGCATATTGCTTCCTCTCCATCACACGCACGTGCACGCTCACACCCCGATGCACGTGACAACCCGCAGGCCGCCTCCAGCCGCCCGATGACGTCAGATGACGTCATCGCCGCCGTGGGCCAGCTGGGGGACAACACTCTTGGGCCGCAGTCCGTCGATCTGTCCGGGCTCGATCTGGCCGCAGGTAATGACATCACGAGATCATGAGATCATGTTTTCGCCACCCTCCTGGTCACTGTCGCTACCCACGCGGGGCCAGGCTAGGCGCCGCAGCGCCCCTGCGACGCCACCCGCTTCGTCCAGAGCAGGAGCGAGGCCTTCGGCTTGGGTTGCCTGGACGGCGATACGGTCCCCTCAGCACACCGTACAGAAAATCCATACCACCTCCGATTGGCCCTTGACGTGTCTCCCGTCCAATTTCTACAACACTCCCTTCCCCTCGAAATCAACCCAGGCCTGTTCCTGCCCGCCAGCGCCTTCAAGGCCGTCCGCCGCGCCGCAGCAGAGGCGTTTTTGGAGGCGGTGGCCGCCCACCCCTACGCAGAGGGGCTGGCGGCGGGGCCGGTGCTGCCCGCCATGCTCGCAGAGGCGCGGCAGGCGGGCGCTGGCGGGACGCCGTGGCGTGTCCAGCAGCAGCAGCAGCAGCAGCAGCAGCAGCAGCAGCAGCAGCAGCAGCAGGTGGGGGAGGCTGGCGCGAGGGGCCGAGAGGAGCCGCTGGTTAGAGTGCTGTGCCGCACGCCGGGCCAGGTGGCGGCGGCGCTGCAGGTGGAGTGGCTGGAGGAGGTCATCCTGGATTTCCTTGAGGTGAGGCATTAATCTGCTTGTGGCGGGGGCTCGATCCTCCAGGATATCTCTGCAAGGGTGTCAGGGGTGATGGGGGCCGCGAGGCTTTGGCGAGCTGGGGTTTCCGCAGGGTGGCATACAAGGTGCGGTTTAGGGCCACACTCACGTTGTGAGTGCCTCCCACGGCCGGAAAGACCTCTGCATCCTCTTAGTTTTGACATTTTGCAAAACATGCACACAGTCACAACATACCAATGTGAATTACATCACAAAATTACATGCTATATATGGCAATATTCGCAACCAACAGGTCCACGGGCTCAAGGAGGCGGTCGCATCAGTCCAGGCCTCTGGCCGCCGCGCCGTCGTCGCCATGCCGCGCGTGCTGAAGCCCGACGAGCAGCGCCTGCTGGGCTTCTACCTGCGGCTGGGGGCGGACGGCCTGCTGCTGCGCGGCGCGGGCGCGCTGCAGCAGCTTGCAGAGATGGGCGGCGAGGGGGCGGGGGTCGCGGCCGGGCGGCGGGGCGCGGGCCAAGTCGCCGCCGCGGCGGCGGCTGCAGTTGCGGCCGCCGCGGCCGACGAGGCGCAGCAGCAGCAGCAGCAGAGGCAGCAGCAGGATGATCAGGGGGAGCAGCAGGAGGGCGCGGCGGCGCCGGCGCTGGCGCCCCTGCGCGTGCCGCGCTTGGAGGGCGACTTCAGCCTCAACGCGGCAAACGCGCTGTCCGCACACCTCCTCTTGTCATCGGGCCTTTCAAGGCTCGCCCTCACGTTCGACCTCGACGCGGAGCAGCACGCGAAGCTCGCGGAGGCACTCGGGCACGAGAAGGCCTCGCAATTGGAAGCGATCGTCCACACGCACGTCCCGATCTTCCACACCGAGCACTGCGTTTTTGCGAGGTTCTTGTCGGAGGGCAACTCGTTCATGGACTGCGGCCACCCTTGCGAGAGGTGCGGCTGGGTTTGGGGGCGCCACAATTGGTCGGCGGTTAGAGGCGGTTGTACAGCGGATGAGTGCCCATTGCAGTCATCCCACGCTGCGTGCTGCTTGGAAATTTCTGTCGTCACATACGCCTGACACCTGCCCCCTTGCGAGGTGCTTGCGCTTGACCGGACTGCTTTCACCACTGCGCATCCTGCCTTGCCTTCCTCTGCTGCTGTCATGCAAACAACTCTCCAGCCTCTTGCACACCTACACTCATAGCCTGCACCGCACACACCCCAACACACATCTGCTACCTTACTCACATATCCACATCTCTTCCACCCAACCTCTTTCCCACCCCCGCCCTCCATCTCATCTGCACGTTCCATCTCTCTCGCTGACCCCATCCACACCCCGCCCCCCCCCCCCCCCCCCCCCCCCCCC